GGAGTTGATGACAGATTCTGGTATTTATAGAAAAGATTATTTGTAACTCAGGGTTGAATTGCAGGGGTCCTTGATGCTCTCTAAACTTGGTTATTTTCTTGTAGACATTTCATTACCAAAATAGGTAACATCATCAGTGCTGGAGGGAAGGGGAGTTGCTCTATTCTTATATATTAGTGACTTACCCTGTCAGTGTTGTTGGGAGTAGTCCTGGTGGTTTCTTGATTAGGATGTTGTTTATTATTACCGTAGCTTAAGAGTAAACTCAACTTCCTTCTAGCACTGAAGATGTTACCTAGCTTGGTAATGAAATATCTTCCAGAAAACAGCCAAGCTCAGAGAGCACCAAGGACCTGATGATGGTATATATTACACTAGAGGAAATACATGTGAAAGTGCGCTAATATCTTGTGTGTGAAGTTGTTGGTGTCTGTGATAGTGCTGCTGCTGTGAATGTGAGTACAACACATTCCTTTGGGTTGGTTGTAGGGTCTACTTCCATGTTAACATCATCTTCCATTGTTTTTGATTACTTGTGAGAATCTGCTTCAAGTTGGGTGCAAGGATGAGTCTGCCACCCAAAGCCTATGAAAGTACAGTATTTATTCAGTATGGGTTGTAGCTTACAGTGATAATGCACTTCAGGGCTTGACCTTTGAACCGAAGGTAAGAACCGATTGTTCTGTTTTTGTGGTATGTCTTTTAGTGGGAACATCACTAATGTCAATGTTACACAGTTTGATACCAGATTATGTGTCTTTACAACATAAGTATTTTATCTTTGGCAACATTGACTCACAAATCAGTAGCATGGCTATGGTCACACAATAAGCCAACATTTTAATAACTGACTTAGAATAATATATTCTATATTATTATCCCCTGAAACCTCTTTTCCTTGAAATTCGTTGATATTATCTGCAAAATAAAAAAAGTCTTACATCAAATTCCATCAACACCTCAGTCTCCACACTATCATCAATCTTTGCCCCAACCTTTCTATAAAACAAGTCTACTTCCTTGCTGTCCTGGTAGATTTATACATGTATTTAATCAAGTAATATACACCATGTCACATAGGAAATCTACAGATTGCCAACACATAACTCTTCTACCTAGAATATTGAACATAATCAATTCTACCATTTATGTGCAAGCTGAATGCTACAGCCTCATTTGTTCTGACCCACTTCACAGAAATGCTTTGTTGGACTTAAATCAAGCATTCAGAAGCTGAGCTACCCCTACAGCAAGATCAACAGATAAATCAATTGAGCCAGATCAATAGAGCTAGGGAAGGCCTATTAAACAACCACAAAAACAGAATAATAGAATATCACTGGTTGTCTTCTACACCTCACAGATCAAACACTCAAATGCATTATAAATAAGCTACAACCCATACCAGACAATGACAGTTCATTTTCTCAGGCATTGGGTGGCAGGCCTATATTTACCTACAGATATGAAGCCAACTTACATCCAACATGAAACCAATTCTCACAAGTAACCAGAAATAGAAACATGATCCTAATACACAAACCAAAACTTACAACCAGACCAGATGACTACTTTGCCCCCATATTTAAATGAACAGCACCATCACAGTGATGATGGTGACATGCTCTTCCTCTAATATATATGCCATCATCTCCAGCAATGTCCCTCTGGATTCTAAATATGACTAAATATGTGCAAAAGTATTAATGGACACAAGTTTGTTATTGGACTCAAGCAAAGACAAAAGAGTAAACAGAGCATTCTAACCTCCCAGGATACTTAATTACAAAACTCAAGGTAGTTACTTTTTTAAAAAGAAAGAAAAGAATTCATCTCACTGTTCATAAAATAATTTCTCCAAAATCCATAAGCTTTTTTTAATTGTTCTTGATTACACCAGTGTAGTTCTGGTGTAGAGTGTCACTGCTGATCCCCAAATTGATGGGAACAAGTTTTCCTTTATGAAACTCATTGAAGCAGTTACAAACTTTTATTTCTTGAGAAACACAGTGTCTTTTCCAACTCTATAACTTTTTAGCATGCTATTCAATGAATTACACAAAAATTGCAGCTTTCAAATAGAACTCTATAGCCTGCTTTACTTTCTTACTTTTATATAGAATTTTAAAGAATTGCATATCAATTTAAAGAGAGACATTTGATTAAATTGATATGGGATAAGACTGAGCTTGCATTTTTCCCTCTCTAGTTTGAAACATAAGAAAAAGTAGACAGAATATGCATAAAACAAACTTTTCCCCCTTGATCTCAACTAAAAATATGCAAAATTATCTGTTACCTCCTATCAGTACAAACATTATTTTTCAGACCATTTTTTAAACTGAGACATAGAAAGCAAAACATCTCCATTTGATCTACAATTGTTCAGTTATAATGATTTGGTAGTGTCTCTGGCAGAGGTCTCCCCACCGCATCCCCCTCATTCTTTTAATGACTGGCCAAGGATTGAACTTGAGACCAAACAGGTTTTACCACTGAGCTATGGACATTGTTAACATCCTGCCAAGCTTTTATTTTCCACAGCTCTGCAGCTAAAATATCTAAGAACCTGCTTTATGATATATAGAAAAGCTCATATTTTCCACTCATTAATATTCCTAGATTAGCTGTATGTAATGTATGTATCACTGGTATTTAAAATACTGACGACAATAGATGCAAATAATGTGAGCTATTTATATACAAATTTCAAATTCTTTTCTTGTTCTTGATCATATCTGTATATTAATTTTTCAGAAGTGGGTGCTGAATTTATCTTAACTATCTGCAAGTTAACAATCAAAAAGTAAACACTCCCTCCAAGATTACATAATGCAACACATCTTCTTAATGTGTTTGAAACATTGTGGTGGACCTGTTGGCAAATCAGTCAAGTCATCTGTTCTAAGAATATATTTTATAACATCCCTAACAAATGCCTTTTCAATTTCTTTAAATTTCACCTTTCCCTTGTACTCTGGTTGCACTGTTTTTGAGCCTAAAATTAATCTGCATTTATTAAAACTGGTTTGTCTACACTCTTAGGGTTAGTCTATCAGCCATGGTTTACCAATCACACTGACTGGGTTCATTCAACATATTAAACCAAAACCAAATAACCCATACTATAGCTTAGTAGGATGTGTAAATGAATTTGCACAACATACTAATTCATGGTTAACTGAATATTTGTTTGTTGAATTAACCCAATTGTCTGCATTCACACAAATCACAAACTATTTTAACTAAACAGATGAATAACTATAGCCACATTATCCTATTGGTAAAAAATAATTTAGGTACTGGAAATTAAATCTTATACATTCTAAAGACTTAATTATGATCTCAGATTTGGGGTATATTTTCTTGCACATAGGCAAACTATCTTCTAGTAGGTTAAGTCCATACTCTTAAATGCAATTACAGTAGTAGCATTTTTTCTTTCATGTTTTTTCTACAATTTAAAGGTTGTAGTATTTACACATAACATATATAGGTAAGAAACTAGCCAATTTTATTTTTTAAATTTATTAAAACATATTTGAAGAAGAAACAATGAATTAATTATGGTAATGCACCATTAAAATCAGTCCCATTCTTACTGGCTTTAAGTGCTATTATGGAATTATTTTTGTCTTCCTTTAAAGTATATTGTTTTAGGTAAGAGATTTTTCCATTTCTAAAAGAAATTGGGCGGAAATGAAAGTTCTCCTGGCACAGCTCTGACATGGGAGAAGGGTATAAAAACTTTGTGATAAATGGGAAAATTTATCTTTGCAGTCAAGAAAATGATATGTTCTTACTGGACTATATCAAAAAATTATGTTTGGACATTTTCTACAGTACATAACACCTTCTGTAATACTAAAGTATATTGCAATGCAAACGTTTTCTCACCTTCTTGCTAACGTTGATTTTTCTTCTCCTCTGTATGTAGATCTTTTTACCGGAGAACATTCACCTAAAAATTCACATTTGCCTGCAATTGTCACATGGCCGCTGGGTGTTTATTTACTACTACTACTACTACTACTGTACTTCCAAGATAAATCTCCAACTGTGTCAGAACTATAGGATATAAACAAACTCCTCGTTGATGCATGGTCAGGAAACTCTTTTCCTTTCCATTCTTGCACTTTATATAACGCCTTTCACTGGGGCTCTAAAATGCCACAGACAGACTAACCAATCACGTTTTAACCTAGCAACCTGTGCAAAATAAATGTGTGCGGGCAGTTCGCTTCGGGTGTCATTTAAATCAGTGTTTCTCAACGTTGACAATTTTAAGGCATGTGGACTTCAACTCCCAGAATTCCACAGCCAGCATTGCTGGCTGTGGAATTCTGGGAGTTGAAGTCCACATGCCTTAAAATTGTCAAGGTTGAGAAACACTGATTTAAATCACAGTTAAATGAGCCACCGGTGGTTAAGCGCGTCATCAGAGGTGGTTCCCCCAACCGAAAGGTGAGAGAATTGCTGCTACACGTATCTTAGGGAATGCGCAATTATTCTTTGCTTTATGTGAGGAAGACTAAAAGGACCTCTTTTTTCTTCTCTTTCAAATGTTTGCTCTCTGGTCTGGAACTCCAATTTTAAGGTTCCCCCTCCCCACCCTTTCTGGAGAGTTCAAGCGACATCTTCTGGCATTTCCCCTGGCCCCAAAAGTGCTTTTTTCAAGAGGCAACTGGACTTTGTTTTTCCTTGAAGACGTTTCGCTTCTCATCCAAGAAAACAAAAAAAAAGTCCAGTTACCTCTTGGGGGGGGGGGGAAAGCACCTTTGGGACAACCCTGACCAGTATGACTGAGAATCTCCATAGACTTTTTTCCCTTCGCCTTGCCTCGTGCAGCCCGTTCCTTGCGGCGCCCCCTATCGGCGAATGGAAAGAGCAAGCCTTTGGTGTGGACCAGGCCCTTCGCTCCGTTTGTTAGGCCTTGCCGGAACCCAGCGGGTTTCCCGCGTAAACCGCTTCGCTGTTTTCGTGCTCGCTCGCTCGCTCCTCCTCCTCCTTTTTCCTCGCCAGGTTATGAAACTATCGAGGAGGGATTTCGATAGGCAAGTGCCCGAGTTGGGGGTTGCCTATCCGGCGAGCCTCTGCATCGCTACAGGGGTGAACGTGCGAGCTAGGTCGCGAGACGCCAGGTGAGGGGTCTCCGTCTCCCTCCCCCCCCCCTCCTTCCCCGCACGCTTGGCCATGCAGTTGCTGTTTCCTTTCAATCTAACTCCTCAGCCTGTCCCAGAGTGCGCGAGGGCTTTGCTTGGCCCGCGCAGCCTTTTGCCTTGCAGCTGGGCGTCCTGCTAACGCCGATGATCAGCTTCCTTAAGTCAGCTTTCCGTCTCTGAGTGGGCTTTGCGATTCCGAGTAGCCGGCCCTTGAGTATATATAGAAGAGGGGAAGTTTCGGGTGCCCTACACTTAAAAGTCTGGAGTAGGAGAGACGAAGTGTTCCGGCCGACTCTGCTGCTTGCTCGATGCTGATAGCAAAACGTGCCCTTTATTTGTGTGTGGAAATGTGTGTGTGTGGGGGGGGGAGGGAGGAGAGAAACTCTTCTCTGTATAAAGATTCCAAAGTTGCGTTTTAGCCTCACAAAACTTGAGGCAGGTTAGAGGAGCAGTATTGTAGCGAACTTGTCCTAAACCCAGTCTAGATATCTCGGATTCAAACTCGATTCCTTGGCTGCATAGGAGCCTTCATAAAGGTTCTTGCCTATATACGAAGAGAGATACTAGCATATATATGAGGATGTGTAAATTGCTCTGTGCTAAAAACAAACTGTATTATCACTAGAAGTCTTTTTTCTGTTAAGAAAATACTACATGGTAGAGGAGGAGGTGAGGTGATGTGATGTATCGGTTCAGTTTTTTGTGATTGCTTTCTGAACTCTTTAAAACTTTCAGCAGAACTTTATTATGTTGATGAATCTGACATGGAAAGGAAATACAAAAACCACTGAGCGTGGTGATTACTGACAAACTTTAGGATGTAGTTAGAAACGTTTCTGTAGCAAACCTAAGTTACATATATCAATATGCTCCTGCTTTGTATGTACTATTATAGCTTTTTTTAAAAATCCAAATTGTCTGTACAACTTTTATAATCTTTAACATAAAACCCTGTATATATTGGCTATGGCTGATAGGTTTTGTAGTCTTGCCACATTTAGTGTTTGCTGGGTTGAGGAAGGCTCATCTATTTTCTGAACTGAAGTGAGACACAGGATGAAGGTGGGACAATCCAGTTATTTACTAGGAGAAAAATGGCAATTATAAGACTGAGGAGAATCCAGAGCTCCTTACTTGCATACATTTGAATCTGGGCTAGGATAATTAGATGCTGCGTGTTTAAATTTTAGTAGATTGTCAAGGCAGAATTATGCTTTAAATTGATTATTTGCTTTTCAGTCTTTAAGAAAAAAAACTACAAGTGGGTGTAAAGGCTAAGCTAGTAAAGCTGGAGATTAGATAGACATAAGGGCCATTAAAGACAGTGGGGTTTACTTTTAAGTAAAAATTGCATTTGTAATTCAGAGTAATAAGACTGAAGCAAATGTCTTCTGCTTTCTCCGTTTTAATGTATGTAAAACTGCACCATAATTAGATGGGGGATTTAATGAAAAGTTATCTAGTACTATTTTCCTCTAGTATAGAACAAGAACAATTTGCAGATAAATAGCAAATAAGAGACTTTCTTTGGAATACCTTTAGAGATTGCCACAAGTTGAAAAATTGGCATGGATTGGTCAGGGCCTGAATATGATGTATGTTGGAAGGCCACATAAGCAGCCTTCAGTTTCAGGATGGAAGAAATACTGAATATAAATATAATTTAAAAAGTTTAAGAATTTGTAGTAGCAGAGAAGCTTGACTTCAAAAAGATCAAATCCTTTGTTTTCTGACTCCTCCCAACACATTGTTTTTTTCAGTAGAACAAAATGGGTTCTAGGAAGCAGTCAAAGGATGAGCATCTGAATCCACGTGAGCATCAATCAGAAAAAGTGTCAAAATCATCTGGAAAAAGGAAACGAGACTATGGAGAACTAGATAATGAGCTACAAGCAAAAAAACTATTTGTGAAGAAAACCAAACTACAAAAAATTGGTAACCCGTGCCATAGCCTTTTTTTAATATCAGGGACTGCAAAAATGGTCATGTGAATGATTTAGTAATGATTTGGCAAACTGAAATTCATCACATTGAGGTAAATAATGTACTGATTATTGAGTTGCTTCCCTGTCCAGGACTTGCTGCTTCTAATTTGCTTGAGAGGTATATTTATTTTATCGATACCATTTTTTTCTATATCTTACAAATTTGAACTAGTTCTTCAGAAAACACTTCTAAGGTGAATGAAAACAATTCAAGTAGCTGATGGAATGGTGATTTTTGGGAGAGCTAGAGGTGGCAATTTTTCAGAGAAGATAGTATAATTCTGTTTTCCTATCTTTGAGGCTGCCTTCATTTATAAAAACATGATTTAGTAATATTTTTTTCCTACTGTGTCGACACATTCATCTTATATCCAGCTATTGCAGGGGTTTCAAACTGCTGGCCCGCAGGCCGGTTGCATCATATGGAGGCTGCATCCACCCCAGCTCTGGCAACGCAAAAAAAGTCACAATATATCACAACACGTCACGTAACACGGCGAGTTTGACACCCGTGAGCTATTGGGTCAGAAAAGTCCTTAGTTCTGCCACCATAAAATACTGTTTTCTTTCTTAAGCTTGCAGATTCAGAGACAGCCTCAAGATGTGTAAATGCTTTTAAGCACTGTCAAAAGTGGCAACCAGTAGTGGTTGGGCATTTCCTTTCTCAGTCTTCTGAGAAAGACTGATGATATTCTGCTGTTGTCTTCCCGAAAAAATAGAGCAGCTCTGTGATTTATATTTCTCAGAAGTTCATAATAGCAGACTGCTTGAAGGAGTACAAATGCTTTAATTGTAGTGCAAAGTTGAAATAATAGAATGAGGCCACCCTTTCCCAAATAGCCTCCAGAACAGAATAGAGAAGAATTTGTTGCTTATATAAAAAAGAGAAAGGAAGGGAAAATAAATCTTAAATAAAAGTACTCTAGTAATTTACCTCCCTTGTTGGCTTCAGTATATTGACTCCAACATATTATTTTCAAAATTGGGTGAAGGAGCCCAAGAAGAAGTCTAGATTATGAAAGATAGAAGCATATAGCCAGCTTTTCTCTTTATATTTCTTTTCCAGCAATGTAATTGGCAGCAATGTAATTTCCCCTACTTGGTGAAATGCAGAAGAGGGAGGGGAGGACCAGAGAAATCAACTAATCACTTTGCACATGAAAATTAGGATAGCTTCTTTGTCAGTGAGTCAGACCAGATGAAACAGAGGCAGGATAGGGATGGGGCAGCAGATTTTATGCCAGTGTACTTTTCTTGTTGATTCAAGTGTGGGTGGCACAAATTCAGCAGCAGGGAAAAGTTGCTACAGCCTAGTTGTTTAGGTGATTTTATTTAATGACCTCTATCTTTTTTTAACTTTATGTATAAATGTTAAAACAAAATAGTTTAATAATTTAGATAACATACCTAATCACAGACAAGCTAACTAACTTACTTTAACCTAGCCTGTTGTGCAAGGTCAGCTGGTATTGTTAGTTTATGGTTCAGTATATTGTGCCAATCCGGAAAATTGGGTTGAGTAAATGAATTGCAGATCGATCTTTATGTGCTTCTCTTTCAATGCTTTGTTTGCTGAGCTTAGCTGAGCTGTGGCATCATCTGTCATCTAGATCCAAACAGAAGTTTTAACATCCGTAAGTTACCTTATAATCTCCTGACAAAGAAAGGAGAAAAATGTGTGTTGGGTGGAGATGGGGACTATTCCAGCTGTAGCATCTTTGCTGGTCCCAACAGATTTACATTATCATAATCGATTGTGTCCCATCAAGTTGTTGCCTCCGACAACAGTGAAGGGAGTAAAATAAAGAGCGGAGGAAGAAATGACCTCAGTCAGGTTTTCTTTATCCCATGTGTGGTGGCTTTAACAATGAAGCCACTTTTTTATTGCTAAAACATTTTAAAATGTCTTAGAAACTAGCTCAGTGTTTCTCAACCTTGACCATTTTAAGGCATGTGGACTTCAACTCCCAGAATTCCACAGCCAGCATTGCTGGCTGTGGAATTCTGGGAGTTGAAGTCCACATGCCTTAAAATGGTCAAGGTTGAGAAACACTGAGCTAGGTAGTCCATGTAAAGGTGAGTGGGGTATCATTCAACTTGAACCTTTTTTTAAAAAAAAAAAAGTTCTTTGTGCCACTCCAAAATTAGCTTCATATGTTTATGAACTTACAGAGTCTCAGTTGATTAGAGATAATTTATTTCCTGCCCTCCTGCTGCGCATTCTAAATCACATTCAGCGTGAGTATACTCTTGATAAAGCTGCACCTCTGAAAAGCTTGTGGGTGAAATGGTCCCTAACCCCCAGTCTGTGGGAGTTCTGACATAATTCTGCTTCCCAGTTTCTGTGCTAATTCAGCCTTTTCTTTCCTTATAAACCATAACATCTGAGAGCCCTTTCCCCAAAACCAGAGAAAGGAAAGCATAGTTTAAATGTCATGTTTGTACTCTAATTGGTCACTGGAGATGGAGTGCTTGATGGGTTTATATATTCATAGCCTTTCAAAGTTAATGGGGTTAAGTTAATGGTTGTAGAATAACCTTTCTTGAATAAACCGCTTTCAAGGCTCTAGATACTGTCATTTAGAATAATGTGTAAATAATGGCAATGTGCTCCTGTTTAGGATCCAAACCTGTTCTGGCTGTGAGTAGATAATTTAGAAATATTTTTCTCTCATTAATGTGAAAAATAAATAATGAAAAGTTTTATTGAATGAGTGAAAATAAAGAGTGATGCTGAGCCCTCTTTGTATCCTATAAACTCCTTTGGTAGATAATTTTTCCCCCGGCCCTTTGCTTCTACACATAAATGTATTTTAATGGTTTCATTTGATCTGCTTCTTTGTTATTTAATTTAACAAATTGTCAGATGTTGCATATCCTATTGCTTTGAAGATTATTAGTATTGTCATGGACAATTTTACATTGCATTTTTTTTGGGATGCAGGTACATCAAATCCTTGTTCTACTTTAAATGCAAATCTGTGCATCTATCCTTGTTCTACCTGATGTCTCCGTGACTCCATGCCATTGATTGTGTGATATAGCTCTGAATTGGCTCAGAGGATTGTGGGTGGGTGGTACTGTGAAATGCTGTTTCACCTCCTTTCTTTGGGATCAGTTCCAATTGGTGATGATGGGGGGGGGGTGATTCCATCCCCCTCCCCGACCTGTACTGTGTGGGATGCCTGCAGAATTTGGTGCTTTGTCCACTCCTATTCAATATTTACATGAGGCCACTAAGTGACCTCATCAGTTACCACAGGTTGAGGTATCATCAGTGTTTCCCTGGTGAATTAAGCAATGCTGAGGACATCTTATCTCAGTGCCTGGAGGGTGTGAGGGTCTGGATAAAGAACGCAGGTTTCAATTGAACCCTGGCAATACTGAGCGGCTTTGGGTTTGGGGGATATATTACTTTTAGAACTATGCCTTTGGTGATGGATGGGATTGAACTGCCCAACAGACCTAGGGGTTTTTCTGGACTCGCACTCCCACTCGAAGAACAGTTGACAGTCATGAATGGGAGAGCCTTTGCATCCATTCCCAGATTGGGAGGCTCTGCTTATGATCATTCATTCATGTGGGACTACTGTAATGTGCTCCACAGAGGGCTTCCCTTGAAAAGTATCCAGTAGCTTCAGCTGGTGCAAAATGCCGTGGTGTCGGCAGTTATGTATACCTCTAGAATGTTAAATGTTACACTTCTGCTCCACCAGCTGCATTGGCTGCTGGTTTGGTTCTGGATCCCATTCAAAGTGCTGTTTTGACCTTTAAAGCCCTTCGTGGCATTGGTCCGGGTTATTTGAGTGACTGCTTCTCCTTGATTACATCTGCTCAACCCATCAGGTCTGACAAAAGAGGTATGCTACAGTCCCATCTGCTAGACAGCTACCTTTAGTGCGACCCAGGCAGTGGGCCTTTTCTGCCATGGTGCCCGCCCTATGGAACATCCTCTTCCCCCACCCCAAAGTAAGGCTGGCTCCATCCCTGTTGATTTTCCAAAAGTTCCTCAAAACCTGGTTATGCTATCAGGCATGGGGGCCCTAAGGAGCAGCAGGGTACTGAGGGGACTCTATTGTTGTTGACAGCTGCTGCCTTTTCTGAACCTTTAATTCTGATTTTTATTTTTTGTCTGCATAATTTTTTTCTATCTTATTATTTTATAGTATATTATTGTACATTGTCCAGAATCATTTTTGGTGAGTTGTGCGACTATATAAATTTGATTAATAGATAAATAAAAGTATCTAGGGATTAAATATAAAAAGTAGAGCTAAGTATGAAAACAAACAAAAGTCAAACCTCTACAGTTGAATTGCTCAGCAAAATTCTCTCTAGGCAACTGTCTCTTAGGCTTTTTCATGAAATGTCAGCAGATATGTTTGTTAAAACCACACTGCTAGAAACTCAATGCATTTTATGTAAGCTATAGAACAAACTGGAATATTCTGTTTCAGAAGGAATTTAAAAGTGCAATGGTATGATATCCTGTTTTTATGTTTTTGGGTTTCTCTCTCTCTCTCTCTATATATATATATATATATTTATGTTTGTCAGAAGATGTTTAATTTCGCACCGCAGCTTGATGACTGTGCTCAATATTTGCCTTTATCTGAGGAGTCTTCCAGAAGAAACTCTCCTAGTATAAACTGATTGTTGTTCTGCTCTAAGTTACAAGGGATTGCACTTGGTATTTCACACAATTAGGATATATACTTGTCCTAGTGAATGTGACATAAGTAAGTAAGTAAAAAAGTTCCAGTTCATCTTCACAAACAAATAATAGGAGTTTTTTTGTTTTGTTTTCTTGCTTTAATAAGGTTTAACATTTTTAATTTTTATGGGAATCCTGGCTTGAAAATTTTACTAAAAAGAGCTGGTCAAATTGGATGTAGATCAGCCCTGGATCCTCTACTTTTTAATATTTTATTAATTATGAAGAGCTGGAAT